GTCTGTCAAGGGATCCAGTCAAAGATTATAATTAGATTTAGAAGTTTGGTTATTTTGTTTTAAAATGTTTTTCTTAAGCTGTAAAACAGTTTGAGTATGATACTTGTTTTACACATATAAAACACAGTCACACTTTCCTTATTTGTAGACAAAATTAGGTTTACATTTAAGGTAATTTTAGAACAATAGCTATGCCACCAGGTAGATTAGAATATTGAGGACAGATAAACTTTCTGTAGTTCATAATCTAATGAAGTACACCTCCAAAGCTTAAGCAAATATTCTACAAGAGAAAGTGATTTGGCATGGAAAGCGGAACCACGGAATTTCACATGGCTCATTATCACATCAAGATCAAACAGATTAATTAGCTGCCTTTTAACCAAATAAATTCCAGTTGCTTTGGAGAATGAGCTCTGAAAAAAAAGTCCAAAAATCGGCAATGACCACTTTTCACTGTAGATCCCTTCCACAGTAAGGCTTCCTGGGTTGGATCCACAAACTACAAAGAAGTGTTTAAGATCTGGCCTGGCAGTGTGACACACTGAGACCTCCCCATTGGGTCTCACAGTATGGCGGAAATTGCTATGCTCCCTTACTGGCAGCCCCTGTGAAGGCCTGCCCACTGTCAGCCTCCCAGCCCCCTGGCAATGATTCTGCACTCAACCCTGAACACGTCCTCTTGCCCTCCTCCAACACCAGGATGAACTACCACTTGGCAGTTGCCACTCAGAGTGAGTGGCTGATGGTGGCAACAGTAGAATTTAACCAGACTTGGTCAAATTGTATTTGGGGAAGAGAAGGAGAAAAGATAAGACACCAAACAAACAATGGCCTAAGTGCAAAGCATTTGCATTAGTTTATGCAATTGGTAACAGCAGAAATATGAAATTAATAAAGGCTTTAATAAAAAATAAAACAATCACCAAATAGCCTTTTATGAAGTGCTTTTTCTGACGTGAAGTAAATATTGATGCAGTAAGGATAAGGGTAAGGAATAGAGAGAAAATAATCAAATTCTTAGGTACTTACACCTCTGGTTAAAAACATTAGAGGTTCTAAAAATGATACAAATCATGAAAAGAAGATGTGTTAACTGAAATGTGTTTGGTAAAATAATTTAGAAAAAAATAATGTAAAACACCCCAGAGTAAAACATAAAGATAGAAATCTTGACTAGTTGGACAAGATCTTAATTTATTTCATGATATTTTCTGTACCACATATGAAAGGAGATACAGAAAATCCAGGCTGTCAGCAGAATGTTGGGCTTCGTAATTTTGAATTCGTCAAGCAGATGTGAAAATGACAAAATTTACCTTGTTATAAAAGCCTCCTATGCTCATTTTAAAATTTAGCTATCATCATGCCTGCTTGACATCCAAATTCAGTTGTGTACATGATCTGTTATTTGCCTTTTTATTTGTTAACTATTACAGGATTCAAGAGATGATGGTAATAAAACTGAAGCCAGCAGGATAAATAAATTAAGAAGAACAAGAAAGAAAGTCACTAAACCACAGATTTCTTCAACTGAAATAGGAGAAATGGATATTTCCAGCTCAAAAGGTATCTTGCTACTATGATCCCTCAAGAATATGTGGTCAATGAAAAACTCTATTTGGTCTTCCTTTTCATAAGACATTTTCTTTTCTTCTATGGCAGAAGCAAATGCAAAGAAATAAAATGTATTTCTACATAGGCAACATAAAGAATGGTAAATATAGGATTAGTTTGTAAATATATAAAAACAATCGGCCATAATATTCAGAACTTAAAGGGGGCAGAAATAGGAGATAGTAGTGGGGAAAGAAAGAGAGAGCACAACAGAAGGAACATATATTTAAGAAAGAAAACTCATATTTGTTCTGAGAATAAACACATAGATCATGATTGAGGATTTGGGAGGCCACGATAAAGGCGTGGAATAGGTTTCCATACCACATGATGGAATTCCAACAAGACTCCAGTGGATCTGAAATCGTGATGGAAATAGAAATTAATTTGGACAACAGACTCAATCCCAGGATCAGTGGTGCTCCAAGTCAGTGGCAGTGGGAATAGCCAGTGCATTGCAACGATAAAAAGCAGTCAGGGGCCGGCNTCACTGGGATAGGCTAGATGATCCATAAGAGCCTAAGCAAGAAGGAAACAGTGGCACTCACAGGAATGATAAAACTAGTTTTGTTGGGAGATAGGGTTCGTGTGTAAAAATGGTCAGCTATGGAGCCTGGAGGGATTGGAGAGGCTGGATTATGCAGTGTCTCAGAGAATACTAATTAGAATTTTTCCTGAATTTGATGGGAAATTGTGGAAGCATCCTAAGCAGAGAAATAACAAGACCAAAATTGTGATTTAGGGAAGTAACACGGGCAGTAGTCTGGAGGGTGGGCAGGAGGATGGTAACATTGAATGCAGGAAGAACAGTTTGGTAATGGCTATGGCAGGGGTTGGCAAACTGCGTCTCACGAGCCACATGCGGCTCTTTGGGTTCGTACATGTGGCTTTGAAGTAAAATTGAAAATGAAAATAAAACTATCATAGTTTCATTTATAAAAATTTTAAAGGATATTATTCACATAATGGTGATTATGTAAAAATATATTTATGGCTTTCGAATAATTTTTAAAGTGTTGTGAGGGACAGGATTGGCTCTTCCAGGGGTCGGCAAACTTTTGAGACTGAATGTACCCAAAGAGCTACATGTGGCTCGTGAACTGCAGTTTGCTGACCCTGGGCTAATGTAATTCAGGTGACAAGAGGGGAGGCAGAAGCACTCATTCCTGAATGGTGAATTCACTGAACAGAATTATCACAATGTATTTCAACTCACCCTACTTTAATCTATGCTGCTTTCACTGTTTTCACTGTTACAACAAAGGTGGCATTGGACATGCTTATTTTGAATGATTTTCTTAGACCAGGTTGCCAGATGTAGGACTAGTAGTTCACTGGTGTGGATATTTTTTAGATTACTTGGTGCAAGTTTATGATGTGTTTCTTGAAATATCTCTTCTGTAAATATTTTGACTACATGATCTACCTTTTTTCTTTGAAGAATACAATTTAAGGAAACGGAGGACACATTCTTTTCAGTTTAACATATTGTGTTTCTTTTTAAAGATTTTATTGGGGAATT